GACAGATATTGATTTTTTTCTTTTAGTTTCTCATACTAATTTTTAAAATTGATTTCTTGGCTACACGAGAAAAGCATGTCATTTCTAAAGCACGTGTGTCTTTGAAGTCCGTGTTTCCTTTTATCAGTTCATGTTTGTGTATGTGTGTAGGCGTATACATATAGTTATGTTTTGTATTTGTTGTTATATCTACATTAATGAGTACATGTGTATATATTTGTTTCTCTGATATATTTTAACAGTCTCTTTGTTTTTCTTTTACTAATGATTTGCTCATAGTTGCTTTTTTTTTTTTTTTTTTGTTTTACTGTCTTTATGCAAAATTAACTTTTCAGTGAACAAAGTAAAATATTTGCTGTTTTTCTTTCTAATTTTTTCCTGTTTAGCTTTCAAAAGTTGTAAATAAGCAGTAATAATGCACAGGTTGTGTATTAAATTTGTTAGACAAGGTTTTTTTTAATTGTTTTGTTCAGAGTAATTTTGTCATGTTTGTTTGTTTTTTGTTTGTTTTTTTTTTACAATATTTAGTCTCATTCATTCATGTTTTTGGAAAAATCTTTACTAGATGTAAATAGGCTTTGCCTTTGTGGGTTTTAACCACATCTACAGATTCAGTCAACTGCAGATCAAATCTATAGTTTTTAAAAAGGTCTACAAAGCCAAACTTGAATTTCCATGTGAATGAAGTGATGTGTAGGCATATTCTGTTGTAACCGCCTGTGATGCTCTTTCCAACACTCATTGTTTGACTGTTGTTGTCGTCTTGTTTGTTTGCTATTTGTGTTGTATGTACTATTTTTTATATTTGGAATGGGAACTTAAAAATTGACCTCTATTAATTAAATACAAAAATTTTATCAAAATCTAATAATTAGTTGATTTTTAACAGATGTTCAAATTATTTTTTGCCTAAAAAATTTCTAATGCAAATTGTTCTTATTTTTTTTGCCACACTAAAATTTTTACAAATATTTCTTGTTCTACAGAGAGTAAATAAATAATTTTTATAAAAATTTTCCCCAATCTTGCTTCTTACTAATGGAACAAAGTTTCTGATGATAAAATTTGCACTTTTATGCAAGTTTGTGTTTCTTTCTTTTCTTTGTTCCTCGAGTTTTAATTTTCCATTAGAATCTTTTGTTTATGTCTACAGTATAGCAACTATTTATATAGCATTATCATTATATTAAATATTAGGATTTACATAGCATCTACATTGCATAAGGTATTATAAATGATTTATGCAGCATTTACATTGCATTAGGCATTATAAATGATTTATATTGCGTTAGTGTTGTAACCTAGGGAAGGTTACTGAATAGAATAATTACACAAATGTTGATAACGAACGATAATGCTTAGGACACAAACAACACATATAAGAGTTGCCAGTGGTGTGTAGAAGTAGTAGTCAACTGCTAGAAGTGAGTCAATTGAATTCCACAATGAATCTTCAACTGTAGACCAACATACAGTATTTACTACTGTATTTATGTGAATGGGGACATACCTATTATTGTCTGTAGGTATGCTACAAGTTAATCATTATAAATGATTTATGTTGCATTTACATTGCATTAGGCATTTGTTATGATGTTGATTTGGGGTTAATAGAGACAAACGCCAAATAACACATAACAATAAAAAGGGTTTTAATAGGTTGGTAAAAAGGTACAGAAATCGCCTGAGTAGTCAATAACTAGCTCAGCTAAGAACTTCTCTGTCTATCTGTCTTCGCCATGTCAACTGACATGCCACTATTTAAAGTCTTTGTTCACAGACGCAGACAAGTTCACCTTCAAGAGGGGTGGTAGGTTTCCGACACAACAGCATTATAAACAGTATATGCAGCATTTACATTGTATTACGTATTATAAATGATTTGTATGGCATTTCCCAATTATTAGATCTATTAGATATGATTAATATGATTTAACATCAGTTACTTTTTTTAAGTTAGTTTACTTACAGTATTCTCATTTTCTTTCTTTTAAAATTAACAGAAAAGCTTCCTTCTGGGTTTCCCTCTATTGCTATTACTAAGAAATGTATTTTCTTTTTCTAACTGCAATTGCTATATATAGAATTTTAACAGATATTTGTTTTGCAATATAAAACATTGTGAAAAATCACTTATTGATATCTAAGTCATCATAAATATTAGGAAGACATAGGAAATTTTTTTTTTTTTTTTTCAGCAGTTTAACAACCATTAAGGCAAAGATATCAAGTAAATACTTTCTTATATTGAGTTCAAGTCAATGCAGTGGCAGATCTACATTTTTGGGGCTCTGAAGCTTGAACAGATATGGGGGCACTTGGCAACAAGCAACAATATATTCAAGGATCAAACTGCCAAAATAGAGGCTATGAATAGATTCTGGCAAGCTCAACAATCCCATACAGCTGGGGGCTCAGGCATTTCAAGAAAATTTTGACCAGTTAAAGGGGAATTTTGAGGCCATATGAAATGGGTATTAGAGCATATTCTAAGACCAACATTAGTTACTTCAACTCATTGGCTTATGATTCAATCATTAAAACACTAAAAAAAAATAAAATAAAATATCAATATTGTTAAAAGTTCGCTCATTAGAAAAAGTTGTTTCAGGGTCCCCTTTGGGATTTGGGCTCCTGTAGCTTAAGCTTCATTAGTTTTATAGTAAGATCCACCAGTTAATAAATGTACAATAATTAGTTTTCAGGTAAATGTATTTTTTTAAAAACATGTAAAAATATCAATAAGTTTAGCTAAATGATGAAAAATAAAACAAAAAACAGTTACCTTTCACTAGAAATAAATGGTCAGTTTATTTTCTTTTAATCTTCTTTCTTTCAAGACTAGCAGAAGGGATGCCTTCTAACAAATCCTATATTTACTCTCTATTACTGACAATTGCAATGTATACTATTGGATGTGAGGAACATATATGAAATTTTGCATCCACAACATGACTAATTTCCTGCCATTTATTAGTTATCACATTGGACCAATACTGCCAATGCTCTCTCTTGATTGTATGTCAATGGTCCAGAAGTTGTTCTATCTCAATGTAAGTAAAATTGGGAGCTTTCATCATGTTAGTTTTTGTTAGCTAGTACTATCTACACAAGTGGCTAATCTGTTGGAGGATGGGTGTTTGTTTTCTGTGAAATGAGTAGCCATGGTCAAATGCAAAATAAAGAACAGAACTGTCCTACAAAGAGAATTAACAAAGTTTGTGATAAAAAGAAAACAAAACATAATATCAAATAAGCAAACAATATATGCAGGGCAAATTAACAGTAATAAGGCAAAAAGTTCACAAACTAAGAATTGGCATTGGCACACAAAAGCAAGTTTAGACAAGTGAATGTAGTGTTCTGACTTCTAGACAAGGCAGATTGGGACAGTCATGTTAAACTGAAAACCAGCCTATTTTATTGGTTAAGAAAATACCAGCATGCATTTGTGTGCTTTTTGCCTATAAAAGGGAAGGTGCAAGTGTTTTGCAGCCATTCCTATATGGATTGAAATCAACATTTTCTAGTCCCCATAGATTCATAATGAGTTCTACCTTCCCATGAGAAATTAGTTCCAGGAGTGAAATCAGATATAAAAGCTAAGGGACTAGTTTTGTTATTCAGTGTTAGCCTTCACCTAGATAGTTGTTTTCACCTTGGCTTTGTGACAGTGAATGAAGCCTCATCTACCCAGAAATACTTTGCTTTTTATCCTCCGAGACAGTTTTTGAATATATCCATTAAAACAGCTGCTTTCTTAAGACATAGAGTATAATGTCTCAATACTTTGTTCTTCATCTTTGAAACAATATTTTAAATAAATCTATTAAAACTGTCACTTTCTTAAGATATAAAAGACTAATTCTGAATACTTTAATTTTTTTTTCATCTTTTACCTACTGTGTATCAACACTAGGATAAATATGAGCCAATAAACTGATCAGCTTAACAAAAAGGAATTTATTTCTTAAGGGAAGTATAAAAATTAACCTTTAAGAAAGATTATATTCTAACAGTTTACAACAAGAAATTAAATAATGACTTTGTGATAATTTTTTCATTAGATGAGTATTGTCAACCATAAGATAATGCTAATATCTAAAAAGGACGAAGTTGTGGGAGCCATGGTTGGCCACATCCTGAAGAGACATATAAAAAAAAATTGTCAGCCATCACTAATTTTTTACTAATATTTCTTTCATCATAATTTTAGTTACTTTTACTACTAAAACTTTGATTCTATGGCTATCAGTAAACTGTGCACAATTTTTAATATACTAGAATTCAATACAAGGCTCTAGAGCCATTCAAGGTAGAGGGTAATAGTTAAAATGCTATTAATGAATAGGGTGTGTGATATGAATAAAAGAAATGGTAAGAAGTGAAGATTATGAGGATAAGGAGGATAAATAATGATTGACTATTAACTTAAGAGATTAAGATTGTAGTGTTCAAAAGAGCACAGATGAAGGAGCCTGTTCCACTAAGTAGCAGTTCTTCAGGAACTCTCTTCTTCTTACCTTTGGAACACAGAGGAAATGTGGATGTTTCAACTCTATCAAAATAGCATGTGTCCGAGCTGTAAAGATTTAACTGGTGGAACTAATGAATGAAGCTCATCAGATACAGATGGCCTGATTAGTTGCAATGAAAAGGCAGTTGAAATTAAGATGCAAGAAATAGCAGTAATAGAATTAATGGATTGTCTGATTTTGTGTAAACTGCACATGCATATGTGTGCATTGTTTTTAGTGCATGCACATGTGTGTATGCTAATATGCACCTACTGATACATGTTTAGTGCATTGTTTCATTATTGCAGCACTTGGTTTTTATATGTGCATGCTTACTTACACTCTTGCATGGTTAGTGTCACCAATATTTACTGCATGTTTATATTCACCTGGAACTGTTACTAAAAGAATCAATCGACTTGGCAAAAAATAAAGAATCAAAAGATAAAAAAACGAAACCTGTTATTCTCTGGTTTGTTCCAGATACATCCTGCCCTACGGAGGTTGGTCGTAAGCCCACACAGCTTGCATGGACTGGTGAAAACCTTGCTCGACTGATGGTCAATAATATGTTTCCCTGTGATGGCTATGTTACAGGATGGGCTTACTATGTTTCCCGTCCCACTGAAACATTTGCAGCCACTATATGGCGACCTGTTGATGAGTTTAAATTCTACCTACTAAGCAAGCATCTTCTGCCAGCAACCCAGATGGGATACAACGAATTCACACTTAGTAACCATGTCAAGGTTGAGAAAGGAGATTTCATTGGCTTGCACTATCCAAAAAGTGCCACAAGTGGTGCTATCGCTGGTTCCACAAGGGATCGTTCTGATGTTCCTGCAGCTGAACTCTATGAAGTCTACACTGGAGAATTGTTTGATGAACAAATGTCTGTGAATGCAGAATTCAATATGAAGTGGCTCAATTTTCAGAAAACAAGAGCATCTTTTGCAATCCAAGCAAAGATGAATTACAGTGGAATTGCGGGTACATATAAATTAAATATTTACAATTGTGATTAGATTTGTGTGCAAAACATTCATCTTTACATTGTTTTTTTTTCTATTAAGTATAATTTTGCATATGCATCATTGAGATCCTCTTAAAAAAACAACTTTGATCTTACTTAGAAAAACACTGATGTATTTTTTTGTTTTATTAATTCCAACTGGCACAAAACTGCTACAAATCAATGCAAGAATTGATTGTGTTTGAGTTTATATGATATTGATATGATTTATGATAGATATGAACTGACAGATATATGAACCGAAAATATATTAGTTTTGACATACAAGTATTCACAGAAGTAGACAGGATATAAAGAAATAGTCATTTTTGAATTTTGTGTACAACTCATAAATAAATATTTGAAAGTTATTTAAAAGTATTTGAAAAATACTTTAAAAAATCAGATTAAAAAAAATAGTTTCAATATATAAGTATTCATTGAAGTAGACTGTATATAAAGAAATAGTTATGTCAATTCAATTTTGTTTACAATTTAAAAATAAATATTTTAAAATTATTTTACATACATATATACATATATATATATATATATATATATATATATATATATATATATATATATATATATATCATCCACAGACAGACTGTTTCGGCTGTTTCACAGCTCATCAGTGTGGCTAGACATCCGGTTGCCTCTAGCTATGATCGAAACCCAACTGAATTGGCGTCAGTCGGAGATTCTACCACTAAGCCGTCGGCACACGGCAGGGATGAAGGTGAATTTTAGCGTATTTATTTTTAGAAACACACACAGTGACAGTGACTCAATTTGCTTTTTGCGAAGAGTCTCGCTATATTAGCTATAATAGTCACTGTTTACAAATCCACACCTCTTCCCCAGAGAGCTCAACTGAAATTTATTTTTCAGGAGCCAATATAACGTCATATATATATATATATACACACACTTGATGCCTGTGGCATACTGAAGCTAAAGGAACTAGACACCTTTTGAACTGTTTTCAATGACTACATGCCATAAAAGGTTGTCTACCACATTCCACCTAAATAGGAAGGTATATAAATATAATTAGATCATCTGAGATGAGATAAGGTTGAATCATTTTTACATTTTATCAGTTCTGAAGTAAAGGAACCAAATTATTGCAACTTTGTTTTTAGGAATCTGTTAGCCAAGGTTGTCAATTGTAGAATTCAACCAATTACAGTCTACAAAATAGGAGACATTACTTTTAAAGCAGTCTTTATATGATTATTTTATTGTATTTATTTTAATCATTTCACCCTAAACATGACAATAATTCCACTAAATCGCAAGGATTTACTGGGATTGTAAGAGAATGTGAAGACTTTAGGGAGGAGAAAGGACATATAACAGAACAGTTTTCAGAAAGGCAGAAGATGGTGATTAGCAGTGTATTTAAATTTTTGAAGATTGCTTGTGGCAAGGAAGCAAAATACTGGAAGAGAAATCCAGGGGGCAAGAAATGTGAGAAAAGAAACTATTAGAACAGAACATATGGTTAGCTCTAACTAATTCAACAATGAGACTTAGTTACCAATCTAGTAGTATGCTTAAATTCATGCTGTCAAAGCACCAAAGAGGAGAGCTTATTAGAACACCTGCCATGAAAACATTTATAGAAAAGACTGAAGGTGAGATGCCAGGTTACGATCGATTTTATTACAGACCCTTCTTTGGATTTTGTTAATTTTGAGATATATAGTAGGATCACCAGAACAGATATGGCAACAATATTCAATTCACAGGCAAATGGTAGATTTATAAATGCAAAATGGATTCTAATGGGAAAATTGCTTGTTACATCAAAGTGAACCAATTTTCTTAGCAATTGATTCATTTAAACACTCCATTGGAAAACATGAACCAAATAAAGTGCAAAGAGTTGCTCTCCTGGAAGTTAGCATCAGCCATACTTATGGCAGGCAAAAAAAGGTTCTCTTGTGATTAAAGTATAGCAGTTTTGTTTTGGGTGTATTAAAATTTACACAACATTCCTTGTCAACCACTGATTGGAGGTTATTTTTGAGAGCAACTACCAGTTTTACTTTCTCAGACCTGTTGACATGATATAGGTCTCTTCTCTTTGGATAAAGAAAGCACTTAACTCTTTGTTAAGAATTAATTAATTTTTTATATATAATAATTATTATTAAAGTTTTTAAATTGTTTACTTTTGTAGAATTATTAATCTTATGTCTTAAAACAAATATGGAGATTTTTTTTTTTAAATGGTGGTTAACTCCCTTTACAAGAAAGCAAAAAGCAATCGTCTCCCTTTAGAAGTGAGATCCTTTGAATGATTTTGGATTTAATCGAATAGCTACTTGAGCAAATACCAAGCAGTTATTCACTCTTATGCAAGAGAATAGCATTTCAGGCTATTAAATTCATTTATTAGAAATAAAACGGGTTGTTATCAATACATACAGGATAAAGATGAGAAAGAGTTTCAAATTTTATCAGAAATCATTTCTGAAATAATGGAAGTAAATTACTGCAGCTTCCAGATTTTGGAATATGTTAGTTAAGATAAATAATCATGATTACAGTGTACAATATTATTTATCTAACTTGAGTAAAGTTACAACTTAATGGCAGAATACTGTGGTTACATCTGAAGATAAGTTTCCAAACTCACCCAAGTATACAACAGATCTTGAAAATATATGCTAAATACTTTTATAACAATGCTTAGTAAATCAGTCAATTTATTAACTCTTTTTCCCAAACCATTAATGTTATTTTTGTAAATGTTATAATTTTTTATAAATACATGAAAAATAATTTGATACAACTTGGCTATCACAAGTGCCACCAAGAACAGGTTTACAAACTCCTACTAGTACACATGTGCCTATATCATATTGTTTTAATGAATTTAGATTGACTAATGACTTCAAGTCTTATGATGATGATGATTCAGCTACCTAGAATGCTTTGCTAAATAATTTGAATATTTAAAAATTTAATTCAAAATAACTTTTATCTTTGAAAACAAATTATATTCATCTATTTTTGGGGATTTTTTTTTTTTTAATGATGTTCCTTTTGAGAAACATCATGTAGACCAGAGGTCAGCAACCTTTTGCTTACTATGTGCCAACTCAAGGTTTTAAAATCATTCAGTGTGCCAACAGCATATGTATTTTTATACAAGTCAAGGTCAATATACCTGTTTTGCAATATATTTTATATAGTAATATATAGTATATATACTTTAATATATATTAAAATTGAAACTGTTAAATATCTTCTTTGTGTTGTAGTAGTTATTGGTTCAGACTTTGTAATGTTATATGTGGCTGCGCGTCATTGGAAATTACCTGGTGTGGCACACATGCCATAGTTTGTTGACCCCTGATGTAGACCACTGTATACTATCTGTTTATATGTATGACTATTACATTTTTCTAACTAGAAACATAGGGTTGTATCTACTCAGTACCCTGCTTTTCTGAGTTGGAATTAGCTTTGCTTTCTGGTTGATAAACTACATAGTAATATTAAGAAATAATAAGGAAATATGAAAGGGAGATCATGTGAAGGGGGAAGGTTGGAGGTGAGAAAAAGAAGACGACGAGGTGAATGGAAAAAATATATATATATATATATATACATACAAATATAGACTAGGGAAAGGATGATCATGAAAGAAATTCATAGACTTGCTTGCTGGATATCAAGAAACAGTGAAAGATTTGAAAGGGAAGTAAGAATGAAAAGTGTAACAATTGCAATAAAATTTTTATGGAGCAATAATGCAACGAAACAATAAGAGGATGCTGTATAAATTGTGCATTTCTTATTGCCTTTTGACACCTGAAAATGATGCATATTTGTGTCATTTTTAGATAAAAATATAAACAGGCACTAAAGATTGAAAAGATTGTGGAAGAAAATCGAGAACATAAAAATAAAGGTTGAGCAAAAAGCAGAAGCAAGAGATTAATTTTAATTGTCAGTATGTGCGAAATACCCACAGGTTTATTTCATTATTAGTAACTTTCAATGCAAATCTCAGACCTTATCAGGGTTAATGAGAACTAAGCCACATCTTTCTGAAGTTTTTTTTTACATTTTTTGCTCCTTGATATGAATTTAGACTAATCAAGATGTATCATCATTTTAAACACACTTAACTAGGACTTCTGTATCAACAGTTTTTAAGGGTGTGGTGTTATTTTCTCAAGCACTTCATCATGAATGACTCATTCCTGGTTTCTAACATCTAAAATTGTTAAATTAATTACATCTGTTTATTTTTTCAGTTCAGTTTTCTGTACTTTATATCAAGCAGAGATATACAAGGACATCTTGTCATTTTTATTAAATAAACCATATCTCAATATGACATACAATTTACTAAGAGCAGTTGAAATAAATCCAGTCTAAATTTACTATGTTCTAAAAGTAGTGCCACCCATTTGTTTTTATAGAAACAATAACATAGTCATCACCGCTGACTATGCATATGCAAGGTGCTATACATTTTGTGAATTGGCAGCTGTGCAAGGCTATCTGGAATGTGGTTGAGCATATGTTCCTGTTACCACTACTGAAATTCATTATTCAATGTTTGACTGTGCTTACATCCACTGTTTGGTCTTCTTTAAACATTCCACAAGTACTGCTGAATATCAATAATACTTTTTTTTCTATATTACATGTTTCTGTTTTGTATATACTTTCATGAAACATTTCTCAGAGTTAACCTGTAGAAAAAGACAATATTTATAAAGGTAAAAGACAATAGGAAAACTGTATTATTAGCTGATGTGTTTCGTCCAATGTGGACTTTTTCATGACAGATGCCTTTTGCCAGATAGCCACTCAGCTGCTATTTATAACAAGGCAAAAAATCATCACCTATTGGAAAGAAGGTCCAAGCTCTACTACCATACTACCAACATATGTCTGAAGATTATAGACTAACATAATAAAATAGGAGAAATTGATTGATTGATTCATTCATTCATTTTCTATGCCTTATCAAGCCTTTGCAGATTATTTAAAGCCAGAAAATAACATATATATAAAATAATAAAGGTTTAGTGATAAAAGTTTTACTATTTAACCCATAGCTGGAAGGAGAAGAGGTGGATTTATACCTTTCCCAAGGGTATTTGCATGTAAGTGAATATAAGGAATCCAGTGGGAATTGGAACCCAGCTCTCTGATTAACAATTCGAAGCCATTATCCATTACACCACTTGCAAATTCAAGCTTACAGCACTTGGTATTCCCAAAAAGTTACCCATCTAGGTAATGGCAAGGCCTGACATGGCTTAACTTTGGGGATCATATGGGAACTGGTAATTCAAAGTGATGTGGCTATAAGCCAGTAGAAATTGGTTTAGAAGCAACACTTGTATAAGTTGAAATGTTGGATACCTGTATTCAGCATCAAATTTTGGTTCTGTTTTTCAATAAATAAAATAATTTAGTCTGTGACACAACTCCACTAAATTCAAGGTTCAGCTTTATTAAGGCTCCTTTTGATCTTTCTACCTACTCCATACATTTCTGAATAAAATAAACTGATACTAAGTCATTTTAAATAACTTATATAGTTGTACTTTATATAAATGTACTAACATATATAATTTTTTTAATCCTAATGTTTAGCTCATAGTAATGGTAATATTAGCTTTTCCCTACAAGGAAACATTTGGCATTCGTTGAGTGAGCAGACAGTACTGCTTTCAGTTGAAATTTATAAAAAATCTTTCTAAGACTGTTTTTCAGGAAAACCGGTTTCTCAAATGCTGTACCTCTTTCCAGTATTGATGGGGGTTTCCTTCCTAACCTTTTATTTGATGTAGTGTGTAGTGTCATTATTTTCTCTTCAAGTTACATGCTATTCATTTTCATTGTTGCTACTGTTTGTAGTCTTCAAGGGATGTGGTTTCTGTTATTTGGTACACTTCTTTGTTTGTGATTCTGTAGCACCAGTCCACAATGTTCAAAGAAGGACAGTCTTTGCTAAAACTCTCAGGCTTTATTTGCTCAAAACCTTTTTACACCATTAATCTCATGAAGCCCTTGTATACAGCTGATAGTTTAGATATTTCTAATGGTTTGGTGCCATGCATAGCATCCATATGAAAGTCTCAATCTGACGAGGCTATTTAAGAACATGATTTGAATTTACAAGTTGACATTTTGGTTTCATAGCAATTTGTATTCTTTATTCAATTAAGGCCCAAGAGCCACTCAAGAGGTTTACTGAATGAGGTGTGTGATATGAACATAAAATGAAATAGGAAGTGAGGAATATGAGAATCTGATGGATAGATAACAATTTGCTCTAGACTTGAAGAGATTAGTATTTGGAGCAGCATCTATGTGAGTATCTGTTCTACAACATAATGAGTGTAGCATCATTCTCACCAATGGAATACATAGGAAATAAGAGTGATTCAACTCTGTGGACACAACAAGACAGATCTTAGCTGTCTTTTCATTCATTTATTAGTTTATTCATGTTGCTAAATGTGGTGACATATTTTTAAGTCCTTATTAGGTTTTTACTTAATTATTAGGTATTTACTTAATATATTTTTCCCAATTATTATTGTTGTATTTTTCTTTTTCATGGATTTCTTTTTAACTTCTCAGCTTTATAAACATCTTGGAACAGTCTGACACTATCATGACAGAGACATTGCCACTTGGTGTGGACAGTGCAATGGAAATAACTCTACTATGTCAAAATGTTATAAACATTACAGACAAAAAACACTGATACATTTAGCATGTTTTGCTCATTATATGATCTTTTTTGTGATGAATTTGACTATGCATTCTGAAACATTAAGATCCCTGTCTAACTGGGTGAATAATCTGTGGACTTGAAACAAATAAATTCTATTATATAATGTCTTTTAAATTTAATGGCATATATCTTTCAATAATTAATTTCCCATTGATGGAAATCTGGCTGATACTTTAACAAAACTTTACCTCTTTTCACAAAAAGTTATTAAATTTCCTATCAAACTAAATTTCTCTATAACTATATCATTGACTTTATCTTGCCTTCTAATTTTTCTCTGAGACCAGTATAACATGTTTTGTATGTTATGAAGCAATAATCTTTGGCTCACACACACACTTATATATATATATATATATATATATATATACACACACACACACACACACACACACACACACACACAATGGGGATATACGATTCAACACTACATGTTGACTGTCAGTTTTACACTCAACGCAATCTTCAAACTTGAAAGTGATCTTTGAAACTGACAGTCAACATGCTGTATTAATTCCTATGTCCACACTGTATATCTATAATGGCTCTCTCTGATATTGAGCACTCTTCTATAACTATACCCAATTTTAATGTATAAATTTAAAAAAGATGAAGTAATTTTCAAGATGTCATTTTTTAATAGAATTTTGAAAGTATTATGATAGTGGGATTTTTTTTTTTTTTTACTATGATTCACTTCTGATATTTTTACTTGTTTTATATATATATATATATATATATATATATATATATATATATATATACACTAATATAGATTTTGTTTATTCCTTCACTCTACTTCTCTGTGTCTGATACTAAAATATTTTTCTATCTTTTTATAAAAGACACCTTCCCACCAATAGAAGAATGCGCAGAAAATGAGTTCAAATGTCGAGATGGAACTTGTATCCAAAAGAATTATTACTGCGATCATCAACTGGATTGTCCTGATGGATCTGATGAAGAAAATTGTGGTAAGTTATGCGCAACAAACAGAAATTATTTTTTTTTTTTTTTGCTAAAAAAAGTTTGTAATTGGCATTGCATATAAACTGTTGGTCATTTTCACAAGTTTTGGACTAATGCCTCTTCTCTTTTAATTACAGCAGATTTAACAGTAGAAACACACAAAGTATATCAAGATGAACACAAATGTCTCCGGATTCCAAGTCTAGACTTCAACATAGCCTTCTTTCATCTCACTTGTACTAGGAGACTGTTGACATAGTCTCTTAGTAAAGTAATAGCTGTTTTTCTTTAATTACTGCAGATTTAACAGTAGAAGCACAAAATAAGCACAAATATCTCTTCTCCAATTTCGCTTTTGGAACTTTTTTGTTCTTTATATATATATATATGCACAGCTGATACTCTAAATTGCAAAAGTTTCTTCAGTAATTTTTTTATACTAAAGTTCAACCAATACAAGGCTTGAGAGTCAACTAAGTTAGAAAGTTAATGAATGTTGTGTGTAATATGAATGTAAGAGTAAAAATTGAACATTATAAGGATATGGAGGATAGATAATATCTGACCCTAAACTTAAACAGGATAGTATTTTAGTGTATAGGAAAGCATTCATGTGAGAGTCTGTTCTGCAAAGTAGTAGTTTGGGGAAGGATCTGTCTAATTAGAATTTCCTTTTTACCAAAAGAATTCATAAGAAATAAGGGTAATTCAACCTTGTGGATGCAGCAAGGTTCTTGGCGGCAAAGGTACACCCTGTATTAAGAAATTTTAAAACTCATTCATTGATAAAATTATATAACTATTTTTTTTAATTTTCATTATGTTAATATTTTTTTTTTTTAAATTCAAAGAATATTTTTTAAAAGTTCTTGAAAATTAAGAAACAGTTTTTTTTTTATTAAGTATATATGAATTTAAAAATGGATGTGCTACTAAATTTTTTTTTTTTTATCTGTGAATTGCCGTGCCTTCTTTGGAAAGACAGTAGAATGGTTTCCTGTTGCTTTCTCCATGGCTTGGATTTTGGGAGTTTTTCTTCCTTCAGGACTTAATCGATTATGACTCTCCACAGATTCCTTTTCTTTATTTGTGGATTGCCTTGCTGTATTGGGAAAGATAGTAGAGTGATTTTCTCTTACCTTCTCCATAGTTTGGAATTCATCATTTTCTTCTTAGACTGGTTGCAGCCCAATGCTAAAAAGCTCAGTCTACCTGCTATTTAACCTACAGATGGGGGGAAAGAGATAGGTTTATTCCTTTTCCTAAGGGCATTAGTGTGAAAATGAATGCAACAGACCTGGCCCGAATTTGAACTTTCTGTGCTGATAAACATTACATGCTCTGCTTATCTGTACCACTAATTAATATTTTGATTAATAATTTATTTTTGTATCATTATTATATATAAACTACTTGTTTCTATCCATACTAATCTAATAATTGTAGAATTTATTAATTCTGTTATTTTGTACTATTTTATGTTAGTATTTCAGTTGATTTTTATTGCAATTCTCTGACAATCATCCTGCATTCATTAGTAAGCAATGACAAATTAATAATGTTTCTTCTAATAAAATTTAAAATACAACAACTTTTAATGTATGTAAGTGAAGAGGATGGGGCGTATTAGATAGTCAATGAATCTCTCTCTCTCTCTCTCTCTCTCATCAGTAATGACGGACTGCCTATGCTGTCCTTCCATCTCAGTCCGTCTTCTGTGGACTGCCAAATGAGATAGCAGCCTGATCTGCGAACAAGAAGTTCTTGGGCACAGGTGGCAGAGAAACATGCCCAGTGCAGGTTGCAGATGACGCTGACGTTGCCTCCCCTTGAGCGTTCCTCGTCTCTCCTCCTCAAAGTGCAACACAGAGAGACCACTAAGTCAATGAATATAAGGAATGGCTGTATGATTATCAGCTGAAAGACTCTAACCAAGTCAAATGTTGCATTAAAATAAGTTTTTCAAGTGAAAAGGACACAAGTTTGAATCTTACTGGAGATAGTTTTTTTGGGGTTTTTTTTTATCAATTTCCAATCATTATTTCTTATTAATGGCCACATAATGATTATCTGATTGTTGCAATAAAAAACAAGAGAAATTAAGATTAAAAATATTACATTAACATCATATAAGTTTGTTTTTTCTTTAGTTATTTAGTTGGCTAGTACATATGTAATGCCCTGCCAATACATCATAAATAATGAAGTATTCCATTTTGATTGTGGGGAAAGACAGAAAAGACATATCAGGGATGCTTTTTGGTTCTAGTGAGAAAAAAAGAAGATAGATAAGGCAATAAAACTCATTTGTTTGATGTATGATTTGGTGAAATAGAAAAACTTGTTAGTTTTAAATCTTTTCATTTGTACCCTCTTGCTTTTTTAAATAATAACCTGCAATCTTATGATTGTTATTGCAATATTTAGTTGTCAATCTAAAATATTTAACTATGCAATAGCAGAATTTCTACACTTATTATAGTCCAAAAAACTTTCAAGGTGTTTATTCAATCTTTAACTTGAAAATGTTCAAATAGCAAAATATTTGGTATTTCTACTTAATTATTTTGTATTCTATTTTTAACTTGCAAAGGTACATCTTGAATTCTATTTATTTATAAAAATAAAGATGTATTGAAAAGATATTTTCAAATGACAGAATCCTTTAAAATTGTTTTTTTATGGCTTTCTTTCTCATAGGTGCAGGATGCCAACCTTACGAATTCAGATGTCGGTCTGGAGACTGTGTTCCTTATACTAGCTACTGTGATAATCTTCAAGACTGTGAAGATGGTAGTGATGAAGAGGATTGTCGTAAGTGAATGTTATTTCTTTGCATGTGGATTGAAATAAATCTTAATTCATCTTAATCTTAATCATTGTATTATTTCATATGGCCATGATTATTTCTTTATCTGCTTATTTGATGCACTTTTTTTTTTCATCAATGTCACATTTGGGGTAAATGCTTCACTATGCAATCTGTCAAATATAAAATACCAAAATAGATAACTAAATCTGTAGCCTGATATAGTTTTAGCTGAATTTTGATCTGAAATTTTCACTGTAATATTCAATTTATATGACATATAGAGAAACATTTGGTTAAGTGCATTGACAAGGATACAAATATAATGGAATATTTTTTCATGGAGCTATTAATTCAGTGACACCAGGATTTACAATGATATCGATAACTGCAAGCTAGAGTTTCTTTCTATATCTGGGGGAGATATATTCCCAAAAGTAAATGGTGCCATGGATTTGTAAGTTACTTGGGGAAACAGATTTAGGCTCAGCTCAAGCCAAGAAGCCTGAGCCAAATACATGATTGCTTTATATGACCACTGTAAACCAATCAAAGTGGACTGACCACTTTTGTCACAGTATGAAGTGATGTCACTAAGTGACTATCATTTGACTCTCTCGACCGAAGGGAGATAATTGCTTTTTGTATCCCAACACTATCATACAATCTCATTAGAACTATTTGAGATTACAAGCAAAATCCACTTCATTCAATTAATTTGTCCTAATTTTTACTTGCCCAAGATAAAGTTGCATTACTCAATTAACAGGATCATTGGAAATAATTTCCATGAATCATTGAACTTTCAAAATTATCTTGATATTTTCTGTAGACATTACTACGGTAAAACCTAATATGATCCTCAGCTTACATCAGTTTAACCAAGTTCAAAACATTGGTGGAGGGTCAAATTTTGAGTTAATTTTACTCAGATTTTCCAGAAATCTTCAAAAAGATCTTGACATAATTTATTTATTAAACATGTAAAACAGGAAATAGTTAGTTTTCCAAATTATACTATATAGCAGGGTTTGCTTGTACAGCCAAACTTCTGATCAACGGACTAATAGTGGGGATGGGTGGTCCATTAAAGCTGATTGTTCATAGATGGGGAGGTATTATTTTTAAGTTATAAAGCTATTATAGTAACTACCACTAGTTATCATCATAATATAAATACTATAAACATGTATATATGGCATAAATATATACTTAATGTAGATATATTAATCAAAATAACAAAAATAATAGATTTCTCACAGTGACTTTCTCATGCTAATGTATCATATGTAGAGGGGCCCGTGGCGGTTACGGTTTGTTGTGGGAATGGCGGTTGCCACTTGTTGTTGATAGAAGTCAGACGTAGAAGAAACGCAAGGTTCAGATACTCCTGTCCGCCGAGCCCAACTACATAAAAAGGTTGGACTTTGATTAAGTCCAAAGAAGAAGGTAAAGAAAGCAAACAAAACAAGACCGATAATATATGTATATACAAATATATATTATTAACAAGTTACAATACATGGAAACAGTACAAAGGACGAAGTGTGTGTGAATATTCTGTATATGCGTGCGTGTGTGAATATTCTGTATGTGCGTACATGTGTATTGTGCTTAGCGTGTTTCCACGCTATTCCTTGTTAGCGACTACATTTCGAGGTTGATAGTTGAAATCCTCTAGGAATAAGAGAAATTTACCTCGAGGTGTCAGTGCACAGGCCTGAAAGGAAAAAAGAGATCGAGGCGAAGGGTCATTGGCTATTTATAGCCAGGAAAGAGAGACCCCTGGTGAAAGGGTTACGAACTGAAGGAGGAGTTAACTCCGACACATACTTCATATGCTATACACCTGTCTTTGTTTACAATTGAAAGGCCAGCAACTGCTGCCAAGCGGTCACTTTGAAAACTAATACAACTCATTCCTCTAAGCCTGCAAATTTTGGAAATAAATCACTGATGATTTGAAAGTTTTTTTTGTTTTTTTTTTCTGCATAACTTCTTTTTCTATTTTTTTTATTTTGCCTGCAGATTTTGTCCATTGCATCCAAAGTCCATTGATGGGGAGAGCCTGTAGATGAGGTTTATCTGTATTTATAACCCTTTAAAGCCAGTCAGCTTTAGCTTTTAAGTTATTTTGTATTATTCATTTTTTGCTACAGGATTATTTGAAGGAAATTTATTAAACATAGATTTTTATCATAAATTATTGTAAGACAGTACATTCTTGATTTTATTTGATTATTTTTTTTTTTAATTTTCAGCACTTTGTGCTGCTACTGAATTCCGATGTGGAGATGGAACCTGTGTAAATAAAATGAAGCGTTGTGACAGCCATGCTGATTGTTCAGATGCATCTGATGAATATGGATGTGGTATGTAGATTTACATGTCAATGTCAATGTTTTTGTTTTTTTTTTTCTTTTTACTTCATTTTTCTGATGTATCATGTTTACAAAGTTGATTTTTCTTTATTTTTTGTTAATTTCAGATAATGTAATTTCAGGCAGGAGAAATTCAGATACTTTTTTTTTCTTTTTTTTCTTTTTTATTCATTTCACTAAAAGCAAGACAATAAAGCCACTAAGAAATAACTGTATAAAAGGGATCATTATTCTTGAATTATATTAATTCTCATTAATTCTATTGCAAAGCTCTTCTACAATGGAACCAAACTTAAATAGAGGCAATGTAAATCACAGTTGTTCCCTATATAAACCTTTTTTTCTTTTTGTTCTCTTGACTTCTTCAATTGTCAGGTGGACCTAAAAACAGAAGAAACAGACTTTTTCTTCTTCCTCATGATTCTTTCAGTGAGTCTTCACATAGTTGGGAGGGCACCCATCTCCTCTCCAAACTCTTGACCAACAACCAAACACCAGAATATGGTGTGGGTTGCCCTTGGTTTGTATACTAGGCTTTCAGGTTTCAAATTCAGAGTTGTCTTTCTCTTAGATTGGTTACCACCCAACACCTAATCTGTCCTGCTATTTTCCTATAACTGGGCAAAGAGATGGATTAATTCCTTTCCCGGTGGTATTAGCACATAGTTTAATGTAATGAACTTGAGTGGAATTTGAACTCAGCTCTCCAATTCCTCCATCTGGGTCACTAGCCATTACTCCGCTGTACATCCCTGTTCTTATATCTTATCTGTTTTAAACCCTGAAAAATATCTGAGATAAAAATAAGAACAAAAAGATCTTTGTACTCAGTTTTTATCCATAAATTCCAGTTTCAGGCTAACTAGACAATGTATATCTGCCTTCTGTTTGAATAGATATACATAAAACAATTCATTCAATTTAATCTAATTACACTTCTTGTGTATAAGACATACTTTTTGTAAAAACCATAAAGTTTAAAATTTATATTTTACATATCAAAATTCATAAATATTTATTATTCAACAGTAATTTAAAGATTTTTGTTAAATATTTAAAACTAATTTTTAATACTTTTTATTTTTAAAGTGTGTAACAGTTAAGAAAAGTCATTCTCTCTTCTACTGTGACACTCTTGTCAAATTTTGTTTTAATAGTGTAATTTCTTTAACTTAAAAAAGAAAACTCAAAAAATTGAAATTTCTTATACAAAGGTGTGTTTTATACAATGAAGATTATTATTTAAGCTTATCCACTTTCTACAAGGATACATCTTTATTTATTGATTTATGATAGGATGAGGATTAAATAGGAAATGTTTATAAATGTAACATGTTTTGCCTTTATTAAATCTTCATCAGAGAATGAATTGATTTATACAAACGTACGTCTTTTATACTAAGTATTATTAAATGTTATTTTATACAAAGGTGTAAGTTCTGCAATAAGTGTTATTTTATAAAAACTTTACATCAGTATATTTATTTTATACAAAGATGCATGTTATACAATAAAATGTTATTCCATTTTATACAAGGGTGCATCTTATATAATAAAAAAACTTAATTTTATTTTATACACTTTATACGGTAGAAAATGTTTATTTTTTTAAAAAATGCACAATTAAATAGTACCTTTGAATCAAAAAACAATGGCTATTTTGATTATTTTGAAATTAGTTTTATTAGAAAAGTAATAATTATTACAAGTTTGTACTTCTGTCTCTCTCTTGACTGGCTGTTATGTATGGGAATTAAGTCATTTTTGTTAATATGTATATTTTAATGAGTTATTTCATTAAAAATCTGTAACTAATTCTGTCACTAAACCTTGAAACTGACTTAAATGTTTTATGGAAAATAACTAATAAATAATATCTTGCTTACTTTATCTTTCATTCCTCATTATTTTCATGATATTGCGTTACATTTTTTACTAATGAAATCCAAAAATGTTTTTTATAATAAATGGCTAGAAAAAAGAGATTGTTTTGAACATAAGGCTTTCCAATATAATTCTTTCTTTTAAGAATCATTAACATTCCAAGCTTTGTCCAGACAATTGAACTCATTCTTTGTGTTGCTAAGGTTTTCTTTTGGTTTTGGTTTTTTTTTTTTTTTTTTTTTTTTTTTTTGCTGAATACAAAGCTCAAGAGCCACTTAAGATAGAGGGTTACTAAATGAGGCTGTGCTGTTGCTCAGGAATCAAAGCAGCAGAACGTTTTGAGTCAGAAATATCCTGCTTTAGCTGAGGCACCCAGACACTGAGGCAAACTTGCTCATTTGGGTCACAAACACTGCTTGGGAATACTATAACATTTCAGTCAATCTATTCTACATACATCTGATTTGGTTTTATCAATTTATAAAAATAAAGATAGTTTAAAGACATTTTCAGATAATTTGAACACAATTCCCATAACCCACTAGGGTTATTAGGGCATCACATGTAGTGCAGCTATAGTATCAGTGGTGTGTCTAGAACATGATAGCTTGATGGAGCCCATCCCACTTTAGACTTGTTTTGAATTCAGAGATTTCCTTCTCCTACACTGGTTGCCACATCAAGGCAAGAGAGCTTAATCTGCCCTGGTATTTAACCTATACCTGGAAAAGATAGATTCATACCTTTTCCAAGTCTATTAGTGCAAAGTGAACAAAATAGAAACAACCAGAAATTGAACTTAGTATGTAAATTCCACCAAATTCTACTATTTTATATCCATTATCTTATTCTGTAAAAAAAAACAAAAAAAAAAACCTTTTACTTTCCCTATAAATTATACACCTGAAGAAGGCTGTAGAATGGATCAGCCAAAATATTGTGGTAACAATATCAGAAACACAAAGTTTCGAAAAATCTTCTTAAAAGATTTGTCTGAACTTATTCAGTTGTTTAAACAAATTCAAATGAACAAATTCTTTGTGCCGCCATTGTTGTTATCACAATATTTCACCAAATCTATTCTACAGCATTCTAATGTATTATTTATGAGCTAGTATTTTCTGTTTGCCAAAAAAGGACTACTCTTTTTTTTTATGGATTACACACCAGAAGAAAGCTGTAGAATAGGTCATTCTGTACACTACAAAGAATGAATTCACTTGTCCAAACAAATCTTAGAATATCACTGTTTGTAATATTTGTCCAACGTAATTATTCAACTCCTGTGTGATTGTCAGTATCTGTTCTTATGTATGTATATATGTCTTTTTGTTATATCTTCATTTGAACTATTTTCTATATCTGTCTGTCTCTCTTTATGATTAAACTTAATTTTCAGTTATATACAATTTTACTATTTTTGTTTTCATCAAATTCCCAGAGGAAAAATATTTTAGAAATCACTCAAGCTTTGATTAAACTTCTTTTTCTGTATTGTTGATACATCCAAATGACTACATTCAGTTCCTAAATTGCTAAAATTGCATTATGAAATTTCTACACTTTCTGTTAATAATTAATAAATAAAATTAAAATAATATTAATATATAAATATCCAGCCTTTTCTTTTTGTTTAGTCTGTTTATATTATTAATTAAATGTCCAAAACTGACATGAAATATCTACTGTTCAAACTGTGATGTTATTGGCTTTAATTATTTTGCTAAACATTCTGAATTTCTTTTTTATTATGAAAATCATCAACAAATATATAACTGTTAAATGGAAACTATTTTTTAACTTTTCATTTGAAGAGCTCCAGTATAGTTCCTTCTCAGATTCTCTTGATAAAGAAGACTTATTGCTTGAAAACAAAAATAAAAAAAATAAATTCTTACTTTTCTTAGAACTAGAAAAAATGCATCTAAACTGTTTCTTTTGTGTTGCTTTGTGATTTGTTTTTTTCATGTACTCAATTTAAAATTTTATTTTTGAATTTCCATGTTTTTAATTTAAAAAAAACAATTCTTTTTTTATCATTGTCTACAAGTATAAATATTTTTTGTTGCAACTGATTTATGCCTGTTATTTTTTTTCTCGGTGTCTTTCAATTTCTTTGTTTTGTTTTTATTTAAATCTAAATCTATTTTGTTTCTCTGGAAATTATTTTTGTCTTTGTCTCTGTGCATGTGTTATTGTGATTTCAGTATTTGTACATGTCTAAATGTCCCTTGCATTAATGATAATTTGACATGCAGACTAAAACACAGGTCAGTTTAACTGGCTAATTTTTCAATGAGAAAAAAATGCCTAAAAATATTAAGTTGGAAATACTGTGCTCTTCATTTCTATATTTTTACATTTCTTAAATACGAATCCCAATAAAAAAAAATATAAAATAAATGAATAATATAATCTTGTAAGCTTTGTAAATCTTATAAATAATGTACATATCCAATGTATGACAACATATGTTAAGAATTATCTCTTTTTCACTGTTTGCACATAGGGACACGTTTAGAACTGACAAAAAATTATTTCTTTAGCTTCTCCCTAAGTAAACATTAAATCATGAATGTTTTGCATATAACATTTTTGAGCAACTAATTTCTAATGTTTTGTCTTCATATACATATTTTAACTACATCTGCAAAAAGAAAATAATGACATAATCCAGATGTTAACTTTCCACACAACTTCAAACAAAAGGTTAGGAAGAAAACTCCCATCAATACTGGAAAGATCTATAATAGCTACTGGACTTGAGAAACCTATTTTCCTAAGACAAGATAAAGATTTTATAAATTTTAATCAAAAGTAGTACTGGCTGCTTGGTCAGTGACTGCTAAATTATTATTACCATGTTTCTTAGACAAACCATTTTTGTAATCATTTGGTTCACTAGTCAGATAAAATTTGGCAAGAAAACCAACCTTCCTGCTACCATGATTTCACCACCTATCTCTTTATCTATCTATCCCTCTCTCTCTCCCTCTCTATATATATATATATATATATATATACACACACACACACACACACACACACACACACACACAACATATATTAGTTTTTTAATACTAATTATTTTTCTTTCTTTTATGTAT